TACGCGTATGCGGTAAGAAATATTTCATGACTGAAATACATTGATATTGTTTTAGTTATATTACTTACAAGAGAAAAAGACACGGTTTTCTGGGTTTCAATTTTTGAAGTGTTTTGTGTCAGTATTTTGCAGTTCTGCAATTTAAATCGTGTTAATCATTAAAATGGATAAAATTGTATCTGTCAAAAATGGCAATTGTTTTTGAGCATGGTTCAATGTGATCTAACTTGTCCTCACTGGGGGCGACATAATTTGAGGAACACTTGGAATTGTTTCGGTTTGAAAATTCTGTGTCAATTGCTAGTAATAAGTTGACTAGATCAGTGGCACATAACATATTTTTTTGGTCATGATCCACTTAAGCACTCTAAACTCCTGATGCCGCACCCCTGTGACACATATTTTTTGTTTTTCAAAAAGTCGATTTTTACATGGAGTAAGGCCATTAATTTGGACTAAATAAGTTTCCAAAGAAAGTGACGCTTATGAAGGAAAAAATTAGGTAGTCTAATTTCTAATCTCTGCTGCAACATTTGAGTAGAAAATTCCGGTATGAAGGAATAATGGAAAGGAAAGGAAAATCGTGCCGAAACGGAGAAGGAAAGAAAGAAACGGAAGGTGCAAATGTGAAAGGAAGGTAGATTTACGTTAATTAGTTTTAAATAATAGTTTTTAACCTTTGACATCACTAAGCTCGAAATGATCAAATCATTTCTCAATTCTCAATCGCGATGAAACGAAGAAGGGAAAAAAGGAAAAGAAGAAGGTGAAAAAGTGAAAGTAAAGTAGATTTACGTTAATACATACACGAGACATTCAGCTTTCATTACTACTTTATGTCCTCCAAATTATCATAATTTTTAAACGCATGCATTTATTCTGTCATCTTTTCTAATATGGCACGAAAAGCAGTACACATAGAGAGAGCATTCGACAAATACTGAAACGTTATCGACCTGTTATCTATAAATTACCATTGATCAACTCGTTTATCACGATCGAAGGATTTGTAACGATAAGGTCAGCTTCAATGATTCAATTAAAAAAGATAGTAAAATAGAAAAGTTCATATACAAGTATAGAAGTGAAAAATATTGGTCCCGGAAGATTCCAACATAATCTCGGAAACATATCGAATTTAGAGCACCACGAACGAAAACTGGAATCCTCGAGATTCCATAATTAATTACACGTGTCATGTTGTAGAGTAAGTCCAGGATTTATCAACATTTTCTATAGTTAATGAAAGCGTTGGATTTCGATTACATCTGAGTTAATATTAAAACTATTAGAAAAGTGGTCCTCATTGAAACTAATCCTTCGACGTTTGGCAATCTTACCGTGCAGTAATAGTGCAGAGAGAGTTCTGATATCACACATTTGACAGAAAGGGTTATTGGTTTCTGATACGTCATCACGTACAGTATGTTCTTCTGCATTCCCAGCGTTTGTTCGTACCACGTTAAATCGTACACGCTTCTGGAGAGGCCCAAGCTCTGCTTACGGAACATTCGAATTAGTCTTAAGAAGT